CCCCCCCCCCCCGCCCATGCTCAGCGCCCCCCCCCCCCCCCCCCCGCCCATGCTCAGCGGGGAGCCTGCTTCAGGATTTTCTCTCTCTCTCTCTGCCCCTCCCCCCATTGCTCACAGCACTCTCTCTCTCAAATAAATAAATCTTTAAAGGTTAAGAAGCAATGTAAATACAAACAGATCAAACAGCAATGTTTGAGTCTTTCTGTTAGGCTTGTGATTAAGAATGGACTGACTATCCTTAACTAGAGAACTACCCTCAATATTTCAAGCTAGGGGGCGCCTGGGTGGCTCAGTCGTTAAGCGTCTGCCTTCGGCTCAGGTTATGATCCCAGGATTCTGGGATCGAGTCCCACATCGGGCTCCCTGCTCGGCGGGAAGCCAGCTTCTCCCTTTCCCACTCCCCCTGCTTATGTTCCCTCTTTCGCTGTGTCTCTCTCAAATAAATAAATAAAATCTTTAAAAAAAAAATATTTCAAGCTAGGATGCTGTTTCTATTATGGCATCAAGAATCTGGCTTATGAACAAAATGATGATCCTAAGGAGAACATAATCCAGGCTTCCTTTCAAATTCTATCATTTAATGGGACTTATTTTAAACCTCTTAACCTTATTTTAAACCTCTGTATCTTAACAATACATTCATCACAGCTGCCTGGAAGGGCCTGGTGGCGGAGGGCACAAGGGGGAGAAAAAGATCTGGGGAATAATAAAAATATAGATAAGGAATTCCAATTTCCAAGATATGGGGAGAAACTATGCTTGAAAAAATTAATGACCTTTTCATATTTCTATAGTAAGTAGAAATAGATTAAACAAATACAAGGTAAAGGAATAAAATCAAAAGACCAACACTGACCTGTATCATCCAATCCCTACTCCCCACAGGTCACTAGATACATTCTAACTTGTAGGTGAGTTGAGAGAGAGCAGTTGAGCCTACATTATTTCACAAAAGATTTAGCACTACACCTGGCATAGATGCAGTTCTCAATATAGGTCAGTTCATTGGCCCTTCTTCCCTGGCATTTCGGAACCAAAATTGGTTGAAGGATTAATTCATTCAATAAATATTGATTGCATATTGATTAAGTGCTAGACACTGGGCTAGGCATCAAGAAGAAAAGATCCTAACTCAAGAAGGTAAAGAGGACAAAAACCATGCACACCTTTATTGCCCCTTCCCTGTCCTTTTCCTTTTATTCCCACTCCTCTCTTTACTTTCTCCCTGTATCTCCCTCTAAATATTTCAACTCTATATTGCATCATCAGCACACAAAAGTGTTCACTTTGAAACCATAGCTGTACAGCACCTACAGCTTCAAAGTGGGGATTCTCTATCTCCTAAGGTCTTTGGGTGCAAGATTTGTATCTCCCCTGGTTAAGTCTTCCCCTTACAACAGGAAGCACTGTGTCTCCCAAGGTCAACTGTATGCTTTAACCACCCCCTCTTTGAATGATTGTTGTTTTGTCACCAGTGATGCCCCAGACCCGCTTTACTACTCCCTACTCTTACTAGATTACCCAATTGTAAACACCCTCAATTTATCACAGCACCTAGATCCAGTGGCTCAGTCGGTTAAGCATCTGCCTTCCGCTCAGGTCA